TGCAATAAGCTCAGGGATGCATTTTGCTCCTGCAGTTAAGCTTTCCATACATTTCTTTCGGAAAATGAGGAGAGAATGGAAGCGCCGTAGGCAGAATGCTGTTGCCGAACTTCTTATAATTTACTGCATTTGGCCAGAGTTATTGAAAACACTGCGAAGACCCGACTAAGACATAGAACAAGACTATAACCCTACTAAAGGAGATTTTTAGTAATTTTAACATTCAAATAATATGTGCGCGTCTTTCTTATAAAGTTACTGCATCTGTAGCTTTATTTTTCAATGAAGAGGTATGGTTTCTTTGTAAAGTAGAGAAAAGGGCAATACAAGGGAGATGTTGATGAATCTCAGAGAAAACTCAGCTTCATTAAAGAAACAGTACCCTCTTTTTCGATTGAATGGTTACTTACTTCAGCAAAGATTTCGGACGATAAAAACGTAAAGACTTATAAGGGCTTGCTATTCCTATCATGAATATAACAGTCATTTTCGGCTGTCATGCTCTATCGCAAACGTTTTGGATTTTGTAAAGCAAACTATTAAGACCAAAACATGGCCTAATTCATTAGAGAATTGATCTTCACTTTTTAACTACGCGACCTAAACCACTCAGAAGACGTCAATAGTGCAGGGCACATATCCCCATTATACCATTTTCAAGGATCCAATCCTTTCTACATTAAGAAAAATTTACGTTAAGCCTGAAACAAGAAATTTACACTAAAGTCGTAAATTGGAAAATGTGCGAATGGAATATTTTTATGGTTAGCATATTCAAACTTTTGCATGAAATTCCTGAGATATTCCAAATGCTTCTCGGAGCATTGAAATTGAGTACTGTTGAAAATGAACTTTTACAATCGGGTGGGGCAACGGAGAAAGGTGCTTAATACTTTAAAAGCAACAGACTAATGTAAAGAGTGATCCGTTATCTAAAAGCTACGAGCTATAACTGGAAGATCGCTTTAAAATGCGAGTACGCGAACCGAAAAGTGAAATGGGTCTGGAATTCCAATTCGCCTGCAAGCGAAAGAACTGGCTAATGAGATGAACATTAGTGCACTTTCGGGCAGTGCGCTACTACTCAGAATGATAGATAGGTATGATTAGCGTTTTTGAAGTACGTAGACACTTCAAACAAGTTTCTCAATCTAACGACATCAACAAATAATGCTTTGCTTATATAATCAACAAACAGTAATTGATTTCACAACACCATCCCAGGAAATTTCCCACAGACTCGGAACATCCAAGGTAATAAACTACTCTGTAGTATAGAGTAGTTTATTACCTTGGATGTTCCTC